TGCGGTTGACTACCTTGCCTCCGTCACAGATCTCAAGGTCTTTGGTTGCACCATCGACTTTTTACAATTTGATACGCAAACCTACCTGGAGAACCCAGTTTGGGAAAAATTGCAGCGAAGCATGGAGTACTGCATCGTCTTTCGTGATTGTTGCGAATCCTCCCCTCACAGGAATGCCTCGAAGGGTGTCCCATCCACGACATTCCGCTTGCTGTCCATGTCCCCATGAACCCAGAGGAGATGGTCCCTGAGGGTGCGTTTGCAGGTGTGCCACGCCTACGCCACGTCAGTGTAGAGCCAGGCATCAGATTTGTGGGTGCAGAAGCTTGGCAGAGTTGTCGCCAGCTTCGAATCGTCAAGATGCCGGTACCGGTAGTTGGCATTGCTGACAATGCATTTCGAGGCTGCCAACTGCTCAACAGTGTCACCGCACCTGGCTGCCGGGAGTTTGGCTATAAAGCGTTTGCGGAATGCAGTTCCTTGCAATGGGTGTATGCAGCTGAAGGGGTTGCCAACCAGTTTAGTAGCGCCACCAAACTTGGGAGTTACCTGTTTCGAGACTGTATCAACCTCGTCGATTTTACCCTGCGAGAGGATTCTCCCCAAGCGGGTCGCCACAGCATATGACTGCCAGAGAGCTGGCGCAAGGCTGCCTCAGTGCTACGGGGATAAGTACACTCACACTCACGCAAGACTTCACAGCAATCGGTGCACATGCCTGTGACAATTGTCACTTACTGAAGAAAGTTGACATCTCCAATACGAAAATTGCAGAAATCCAAGAATTTACCTTTGTGCACTGCACTAGCCTCAGTGAAGTTAGTCTGCCCCCTACGCTTCATACCATTCGAGTCAAAGCGTTCATGAACTGCGCAGCCCTGGTAGAACTTGCCATACCACCCTCACTAAGGTACATAGCCAGTAGAGCTTTTTTGGACTGCACTGCACTCCGGAGGCTGGTCAAACTACCAGGCCGGCATAAATGGAGAGGAACATATGCGGAAGAAAATGCTTTCGCCATCTGCCCAGGGATGCGATGGCCGCCCTGGTTACATATGATCCCAGATGCAGGAAACGTGTCCAGATTGGCCTGAAGGCGAGAGCCTTCGCTATGTGCCTGGGTGAGAGCCTTAGCTCCTGTCCAGGGTAGGCAAGTGGCAAGATCGTGCGCCGCAGACAACCTGAGGATGCAATACATAGGGGAGTAACTTGCAGCCTCCACCTCCAGTTCAGGGCTACGTGAGAGACTCCGCACTCCCGAATGGGCCTATAGGCTCAAGTTGGCGTGTGGTAGCAACAGTAGCCATTTCCGGCTGTGGCGAAAGCAATGCCCAAGTATGGACTGCAAGGCAGGGAGGCAAGATCGTCAACACCGACTCTCACACTCACCACCCTGGCGGGCGAGGAAATACACCTTGCCATGGACCCGCGAGAGTACGCCAGACTTCATGATTTTGAAGAAGCAGTGCTGGCGCAGCTCCCCTATCTAGGAAAAAGCACCACCTTCGGGTGTTAGCTGCAATTCGTTCAATTGGACACCCACCAAGTGTTGGATGAACCCATCCGGGACATTTTGTGTACCAAGCACAGGTTTTACGTGATTGCCCGGCAGTGTTTTGTAGAAGTACTAAACAAAGGGCAGATTGTGGGTGCCGCCAAAGCCATTCGAGTACCATTTCGCGCGACTGACAGAATACCACCTCAAGCCTTCTCCTTCCACACGGAAGTCCGACATGTTCAGGTTGAACCAGGAATCTGCATTGTGGGTGAAGCTGCTTGGAGAAGCTGCCAGCGACTGCAAGTGGTCCACCTGCCAGACACAGTCGTCTGCTTGGGACAAGGGGTGTTCAGCAAATGTTCTCTGTTGCGTGCTGTAATGGCTCCCGGATGCAGGTATTTCGGCATGAAGGTTTTCGAGGCATGTCGCTCATTGACACAACTTGGGGCGGCTCCACATCCAGGTAATCAGTTAGCCCCTCAAGCACAATTTCGGCCTCGAGCTTTTGAGAAGTGTACGGCTCTGCGTCACCTCGACATGGAACAGACAGAGCATAATCCCGCCAACCCAAATAGATGCCTGCCTGCATGCTGTTTCCTGGAAGCAGGAATTGTTTCGATCTCCCTGCCGCCAGATTTCAATTGGGTTGGGCCGGCAGCCTGTGCACGCTGCCAGCACTTACAGATTGTTGACCTGTCTCGAACAGACATAATTGAAATCCTGGGCTCGACGTTTGCGCGCTGCTCGCAATTGCAGCAGCTCAGACTTTCCCGAAACTTGCGAGTGATAGAACAAGAGGCCTTCTTCCGATGTGCTTCATTGCAAGATGTCTACATCCCACCATCCCTGCTCTACATAGCGAGGCGTGCTTTTGCAGGTTGCACGCAACTCCGAGCATTCTGGAAAACAGGGAGAAGCAAGACTTGGAGAGGAACGTACGCCAGGATCAATGATTTCGATAAATGCGAGCAACTAGATAAGCCCACGTGGCTCCGCTTCTTACCGCCAAATGCCAAAGACCAGTGGAGAGAAGATTTTACAGAAGCAGCGCTCGAGGGCACAGGAATGCTTAGTCACACAGTGTCGGCACAAAGCTTTCCCCTCCTACCTTCGGGTGCTCGCTAGCTTTCGACTACGGCAAAGACTCACTATCTCGGCCTCATCACCTACAATTTTGTGAGCCCACCGGGATGAGAGCCTTAGCTCCTTGTCCTTGGCAGGCGGGTGGTAGTAGAATGGTGAGGGAAGGCGCCCAGGGAGAACCTTAGTTACTCATCTGCGGCGGCCAGACCATAGCCAATCTTGTACAAAGATGGCACAAGCGCCATGCTAGGATAGGTCTTCAGTGTCACCAGTCTCACACGGGCCTTGCGTGTAGTTGGATGGTGTCGTTGCATGCGCACCATATCAAGAATGCATCACCCCCTTTGGCGCATGTGAGGAAGCCAAGGTGTGCGAATGAGACCTCCCGGATGGGAGGGAGGATATTGCACTCGTCAGCAGTCCATTCGTTGCACTGCCCCCACTGCCAGACTCAAGAACTGCCTCTCACTTCGCATGTGCAATCAGTTGTATAGGTTGTGCCACGAAGGGGGAATTTTCCTTGGCCCGCCTGGCTTCTGCGACCCTTGACACCCTTGGCAAGTGTCAATACTGCTGAACATTAACCTTAGTTCTTTGCAGCAAGTCAACTCCGAGTGCCACTCGCAGTAGTGGCATAGAAGGACTCATACCCAGATGCATTGCTGCTTTTTCGTTATGAATTCAGGCCCTTAGAGTGTACGCAGCTTCTCTTCTCACCTGTCTCACCTCCGTACAGAGGAAACACTACCAGTTTTGATGGGGTTTTGGTTTTTGGCCTGGTTGTTTTTTGTTTTGTGGTGCCTTTTGGTGTTGTTGTTGTGGTGTTGCTAGTTTTTGGTTGGTTTCTGGGGTTTTACCTCATCATCATGTTGTGTTTCCTACCCTTCAATGATGACCTGGGCACACCGCCCACATGGCGTCCGCACTCGTGGAAAAAAAAGTGCCCTCTTGCACGGAGTTTGCACCGTCCATACCAGCGAGAAAGCACCCAGTGAAATTCGAGTAGAGGGGAAGTTCGACGTAGGCACTCAGGATGTCCAAGCCGCGACTGCCACCTTTCTAGCTGCCATGGAGCCACATTCGAGGGGACGGACCCACCCCCACGTGCCTGGTCGAGCACCATGGTGGCAAGGTGAGACGACTCAGGTTGGTCCTCACGTCGCAAAGCCGACTCTCGGAGGTCGAGCGAAGACTGCTCATCCCACCCTGTTCACAGCAGTGGACTCCTCTTCGGGTGTGCAGCCGATGGGTGCGCGAACCAGGACTGGCTAGTTGTCCCAGACCTGAGTCATCCCCAGTCCTGGCGCTTGCTACACACAGTCAGCAAAGTCGGGGGCACGAGGTTTACCGTAGGCAGTACAGTCCGGTACCCGCCAGGCAAGAGTGACGTGGCAAATAAAGCCAAAGACTACCACTTCGAAGTGCTGCACAAAATCTACTTTTATGATGCCTGGCGGTGCGAGCCAGAGCTCAACAAAGAAAACTCCCTCCTCTACTTGCCTCCTGCACCAGGGATGCTCCAAAATGGCTGCTATTGGCGACCTGAGGAGATCCGTGGCGAGTGCCTCAACGGACACCAATCTTGCTGCGATCTAGTAGGCGAAAAGCATGGAATCACAGTTGATCAGAGATGGCAACACACCATGGAATATGTGGACGTGGACGACATCAACGTCATCGAGATTGGTGACACGAGAGACAATGACTCAAGGCAAGCTGACAGAGAACAGCAGTCAGTGATCTATTTGAGTGATGGAGAAGAGGAACAAGAAGATCCTAGAGATGAGAATCAAACGGAATCAACAGCCAGGAGAAGAAGAACTGAGCGCAATGGAGCCAGTTGAATTTGTAGGCCTGTTTGAGAGCTGAACTCGCAGTAAGTCCTACAGAAAGTGAACAAAGGTTCAGCGAGCCTAGAACGCCTCGCTGAAAGGCAGGGTGTCAGACTTACATGTAGACACTCTTGACCTGTTTGCACACATGTTCAGAGCCCAATACCGCAGCGGCTTTCTCAAGCCAAGTGGAAGTGAAAAGAGCCGCTTCTACCTTTGACAGTTTCACGAATCTCTTGAAAGACAACCACCCAGGTTGTTTTTGGTCTTTGTTTTCAGCAAAGGATTGAGTTTGAAGACGCCGTTTGTAGATGGGAGCACATTCAGACAGGAAAGCAACGCAAAGTTTGATTGACATTGCAATCTGCTGTAAAGTGCAGCGGCATTTATGTATCGCGTCGCGCGCCAGTCGTACATCAAAGCACGCACACATCATGAAAGGACCCCAGTATCAGCAGCAGGAAAGGACCTCAAATCACTCGGGCGTGCTCGACCACCGCAAAGAAAGGACAGAACATGTTCAAGGTAGGCAGAGCAGGTTCAAGGGACCGTCGAAATGTTTTTTTGTTTCTGCCCAGATCCATGTGGGATTGTAAAATGGTTTTGCCTTTTGTTTGCTCGGCACTGTGTTTTCACAATAGACATGGTATAATTGCCTCAAAGCTCGGAATTGGAGGCGACTTGGCTCGAATCGCTGTGACTTCTTGTGATTCTTCCCGGTGATTGGCGATCCGGCAATTCCTTCATTCAATGGAGGTGAATGGAGAGAACGGTGAGGACATGTCCTCCAATGTGATTGATGCCACAGAGCCCTTGTGCAAGACAGGTGCCAAGACAGATGATCCCTGGACCGAGCGGATGGCGAAGCAAGTTCGACAGTGCCTCTTTTTGGTACAGTTTATGCAGCAAATGGCCTTCGCAGGCGTCATTGTGGACTCTTACCAAGTTGGAAGGCTCTTGGGCGCTTCGCCCGCCTTTTCGGGGCTTTTGGTCGGTTTGTTCATGGCAGGTGGCGCAGTGGGAACTTCTGCGATGACGCTTGTGCTGCATGCAATGCCAGATGCTTGGAAGCAACTCCGTGTTATTGTACTTACTTGTCAAACAATGGATAGCATGGGAGCTCTGCTCTACACGTTCTTCATCTATGTCGCGGTTCATGGAGAGAGTGGATCTGTGGGTGCATACCGTTTGTGTTCGATTGCACTGGTACGGCTCCTCTGGGGCCTCGGAAGTGGCCTGACAGGGCAGCTCACAGGGGTAGCCATCACAAAGATCACACCGCCGGAGGAGCTTCCAGAGCAGATGCAGTGCTTGCAGTTTTGGCAGACTTTGGGACTAGGCTGGCTGATGCAATGAGACAGTTGGTTTCTAGAGGAAAACTTTCCCAGGAAAGCCATGAGTTCTTGCCGGCAAAAAACCCAAAGATGTCTCATTTCGTGTCACAATGTGAGGCGAACGGTCTCAACCCCCAGACTTTGGTCAATTCAAATCACCTAACTACTTCAAGCCGACCAACCCAAACCTCTGGCACACCAGGCATGGGGCCTCTGATAGCAAGCCTTGCCATCTTTGCACATGGGCTTCTCATGAAGAAGGACGAAGCCTTGTGTACGACGCCTGGGGCGCTGGCCAGCCTGCAGATCTTCGCGCTCCTGACCGTTTTCCGTCATTGTCCTTCTTCCGTCGAAGCTTGGTGTCGACTGTCGTCCACTTCAAGGTCTCAGGCCTTCTGACAACGACCAAAGTTTGATGAGCAGGGGCCAAAGACTTACCAAAAAGACGATCAAAGAGGTGAACAGTCTCTCTACACAATATATCATGGTTGTCTTCAAACTAGCTTCAGGGAATCTCGTTTCTTGGATGTTGGCCTTGGATAGGGTTTTTTATACATCGACGGCGCGCGTGCGCGTGCGCGCGAGGTTTCTGGCACAACGTTGAACCCTCAGAAGCAGAGCCAGAGAGTTCAAATGCCCCTTGGCCAGTGCACACAGTGCACATGGGTGTGTAGCTCAAATAGGGAGACCTCCTAGGCACCGACACCCCTGGAAAGGTTCGGGAAAGGAAACAGACCAGTCACCCCCCAGCTGGTCGGGGGGTTTGGGAGGTCGAGAGCTATTTGAGCAACAGATGCGACATCAGACTTTCAAAGTTTTTTCTTTTTTGGCGGCTCATGACATGAGACAGAAGCAACTTCACATTTAGATCTTGGAAGGTTGCCCCCCAAAATTGTGAAAGTGTTGGAACCACGCCACTGCAGCGCAGGCTGTTTCTGTGCAGCTGCTTCCTGCTTTGTGCACTTCGTGGCTATGCAGTAGCTGGGGCGGAGGTGGGCACATCCATGTTGCTTGAAACCGCGTATGGCTGGAAGCGGCATTCCATTGGCCTTTTGGTCAGCGCCACGTTCCTGGCGAGTATTCCCCTGCGATCCATCTATGCGCGCATTCGGAGTTCCTTCAGCACGCTTGGGTGGATCCGCATCTTCTCTGGCATTGCCATTGGTGGCACAATGCTGATTTTTTCCAAAGTGACATACTTGCTGCCGGGAGGACTCCTACTTGTTCTGGCTGATTCGGTGATGTTCCCTGCTCTTTACTTGGCCGAGGGATTAACCAGGGGATTGATGATGCAGTTCGCCAAGGAGAATTACGTCTTCTCGGTGAACCTGTCATCGTTCCTTGCGATTGTTCTCAACAATGCGGCTCGCAGCATTGCACCTTGGCTATCCAGGCTCAACATCTCAGCCAGTGATGATCCGTCAGAAGGACAAGACTTGTTTGCCGCCTGTCAACTGACGTGCTGCATCTTATTTCTGATCGCCTTTGAAGCTGGTGTTCGGTATCTGTCGCCTCAAGCCGTCCGCCCCGTGATCGTGATCGGCATGCCCAGCTTGAATGAGGCGGAGAACATCGAGTCTCTGACTAGAGTCGTGGATGAAGGTTGTCAGCGTTACTTCCCCAAGCACCGTTGTCTCTTGGTCAACGCAGACTGCCAAAGCACGGACAACACATCAGCCATCTTTATGAATACCGCCACCCGTTGCCAAAAGCTGGCGTTGAAGACTGCATTGCCGGCGCAGGGCAAGGGTGCCGCACTGAAGTTGGTCTTTTCCTGCATGCTGGAGGTGGGAAGCGTGTGAAGTGGTTTTTTAACTGTACACTTTCTGACATTCATCACGACGTGGATGGCACCGCCTGTTTGGTATGTGGATTTCATGGTGATCCGAACTCGGAGTCATGCCATCCACGTCGATGATTCATTGTTCCAGGGAGTGGGAGTGTATGTTCCAATCTAAGTGAATCGATTCCAACTATGTTTAACAGAATTGTGCAACCAATCGGGATTTTTAGATCCATGTCTGGGACCCTTTTTGGGGTCCTTTCGATCCCACACTGGCGGAATGTCGCCAGGTCAATGCCGAGCATGGCTTTTGCATCGACACCGACTTGAAGACGGTGACGCCCGAGTGGATCCGGGCCTTCAGCCGTTCCATGGACTTTGACTTTGCCGCGCCGCGCTATCTGCGGCACCGCTTGGATGGCAACATCACCAACATGGTGATCTACCCCAGCATGTGTGCGGCGTTTGGCTACGATCTCCGCCAGGCCATCGGCGGAGACTTTGGCTTCAGCCGCCGGGCGGCGGAAGCCTTTCTGGCACACGCATGGCCTCCCAAGGTGGAGAAGTATGGCATCGACATCTTCATGACCACCACAGTCTTGAAGCGGGGCTATTCGGTGTGTGAAGTGGAGCTGCCACCGAAGATCCATAGCCCCAACTTGCCTAAAGTCAAGAACATGGCGCCTGAAGTCGTGACTGTTCTGCTCGGCCAGTTGGACACTGAGACTTTGAAGGGCTTGGAGTTGAAAAGCCTTCCACGGATTGCCTGGCAGAGTGATGGGCCAATGAGCATTCCTGAGGTCAAGGTGAGGAAGGGAGCAGATGGGTGTTGATTTGTTCTCTGGACCCACGTGCCCAATGAGTATACAGTGTCTACTGGTCTATTTCTCTTAGACTGGGGGTCGGAACGGTTGGGAGTTCGACCTACTGCTTGATGGCAATTGCATCCCCCACTGGAAGAGTGGTGGACTGGGCACTTGACTTGTGCAGCTCGTCGACTTGTGCTGCTACGAACTTCTCTTATGCATACGGCACATTGTATACAATCTATATACAGTATGAGACCAGCACTTAGAATATTGAAACCATAGGATTGATGAATTGGATTCTAACTGCCTGTCCCTTTATAGTAATATCAGTGGGCTTCCAGGAACGGTCGATCAAGACCAATCAGATCGACACGTGGAGATTCCTCGTTTCTGGGCTCGTCTCCGAGCCGAGTCGATAGATATGGGCTTGTATCCTGAGGGGGGCACCTACATCCTGGCGGAAGTCGGAGTTCAGTTTCGGAGGTTTCCCCAGAAATCGAACGGAGGGGTTCTTTTGGTATTCTATTTCATACACACGACACCCTTTATTTTGGAGAGCGGGGGACTGTGAGAGTGCAGTTTTTTATTTGCTTTTTAAACAGTGTTTGGTATCATTTGATGCTCAAGATATGCAAAGATGCTTGTTTTCACTCCAGGGCAGAAGATACCACTCTACTCTAACATGGGGCCTGGGTTTTGGTTTTCCCAAAATTTTAGGTAAATGCTTCAGTGGTGGCCCCTCTCCATATAAACACACATATATATATATAATCTGTTCCTGCTCTCTCTATATGAACAAATATATTATGTATTCCTGAATCAGGGTCATTTTATTGTTTTGGAAGCAGCAAGCAGTCATTCAGATGGTTTTGAACAAAATAATTAGGAAAGAAGCAGGCCATGAAAGTGTCTCTAGATCTCTGCTTATGATCATGTTTAGATTTGGAAAGATTTTATATAGACGCGCTTATGTTACACAAGATTCTCTATAGATCTCTGCAGATAATCATTTTTAGATTTAAACAACTATATAGACACCTGGTATGCTAAAAGCTTTATTCTAGATTTCAGCCGGTAAGAGCTTGCATTTTCAAAGTTTTCCTCTGGATCTTTGGGAAAGTAGATATCCCATATATGTGTGTTTTCATGAAATGAAAGCTCTTGAACGAATACCATATTTATTGACACTGTATATAGTATATAGCATCTTTAAATTGACATGATCATTTCCAGAGATCCAGAGGAAAGCTTTTGAAGTGAAAGCTTTTATATATTTTTATTGTAGAAATGATCATCCACAGAGATCTAGAGGGAAGCTCTTGAATTAGAATCTTGTACATAAAACAAGTTTAATATGTCTATATAATATCCAGTGATTACTGTAAATCAACAAATCTAACTATTTACTTCAAAAACGAGTTTTAGTCTTGTTCCCAGCACTCCCAGGGCAAAAAAAAACTGTAAAACACGGGGTTTTGTAGCATGTGTTTTCTTAAACTAAATAGACTAGAGCTAGAATAGAATTAGGTAGAATTAAATTGGATTTGAGTTAGAGCTAAGATAGAACTGAATTAAAACCGAATTTCAACTAAACTTGTATTGAACTATTACTATAACCCATTTAAAATTAGATGAGAGTTGAATTAGAAAGGAATTGTAATCAAAATCAGAAGTTCGCCAGAATAAGATCTAAAACGCTTGAGCTACAAGATGCACAAGTCGAGGAGGCTTCGAAATTACAAAGCCGAAGCAAAAGCAACAAGCATTGAATCTACAGCTTACACAGATTCATAACAATTTCATGTATATTGGAAGGTATCATTATAGTTTCATGTCAAGCTGATTGGACATGCAATTGGCAACCACATTGATACCAATCAGAAGTTAATGCACAGACTTGTACATGGAGATTTCGACAAGGACAAAGGGAGTGGTGGGCTCAGACGCTTTCATTGTAAGAGCAAAGAACATATGCCTTTAGGTGAGACTTAGGCTCACATACTTGAAGGCTGAGCGAAATAGTAAGAACACAGATTGACCTAAATAGGAAAGCCAAAAAGACAAAAAACCTTGAGAAAACCAATAACAACCTAGGAACAGCCAAAAAACCAAATAAACCTTGGGAAAACAAAAAAAATAACGAACAAAAAAAAAACACCAATCCTGGGGAAGTCTTGAGGAAAGGGGGGGGTCCAGCCAAGAGTCTCTGAGATTTTTTTTGTGTTTTTTTTGGTTCGTGTTTTTTGTTTTTCCCATTTTTTTGGTATTTTTTTGCCTTTTCCTAGGTTGTTATTGGTTTTCTCTATATTTTCTCGAGACTGTTTGTGTTTGTTTTCCAGTGCAAAGGACATTGAGGCAGCTTTCACAAACACATAGCATGAATGCAGGCCACAGAGGGAAGTTTATAGCACATAGATGGAAGTAGGCAACAAAAACACATAAACTACGCACTCTGGTGGTCCCCTGTTTTGTTATTAAAGGACCCACATGTTTGTTGGGCCTGTCGGGAATCTGAACTCATCTCGACAGGTGGATCCAGCCGTGTTTGTCGGGATTGCAGAGAGCTACTTTGCTGAAAACCAGCAGTGCATCATGGCCCACCAAGCTTCCATGGAGCATGTCTTGGATCTTCAAGCCACTTTGAAGTCCAAGTCATTGGATATGGCTCTATGGGCACGAGTGCTCCATTGGGCACTGACGACGCAGCTCAACCGTGAGGCTGTTGTGAAGATCTTGTGCTATTGCTTCTTCCTTCGGGCGGCTCAACACTGCACAGAAGTGCAGGAGATGTCCAATGAACAGGCAGGTCCCCACTCTCGCGCGATATCGTCACCGTGGCCTTCCGTGTTGTTCCAGTGATGCCAACGACGCCCCGGTCAAAACCAGTCCTTTGTGTCAAGAACTTGCTATTTTCCTCTTGACGCACTCCTTTGTTTTCAGTTTCACCATTCGCTGCATTAGCTCTTGGGGGGAAATACCGTCCAGGCTGCCGGAGGAACTCCGGCACCATGTTCAGGGATGACCACAACATTGATTTTGTTTTTGTTGGGCTCAACCGATGCAGAACATGGTCAGGCTGAGAGGGTGGTGGCGATGCAAAGGGAAAAGCTAAGGCTTGTGGCGTTTGAAGCACGAGAGTGAGGCGTGATGGTGTGAATTTGCTTCACGTTTGTTGGGCCTAAAACAGACGTTTACAGGTAAACGTCATGGAATCTGGCTGAGATGGGAATGTGAAAGATGTGAAAGAAAGTAGCTTAGTAGCTTGCCATGCATAGACTTGAAACGACCCTTGAATGCGATGTAGTAGCCTTCATCGACGCACGTGAGAACTGCTGTGTTGTTTCGTGCTTTTTGTATCGCACGGTGCAAGCTTCAGATGGATCGAAGAAAAGATGCACATTTGAAGGCCTTGAAGGCGAGGCTTCCTGGTAACATCCCAGGCTTCGGAGCTCTAGACGCCCATTCAGTTCCAGGGAAGGTGAGCCATGGAACTTCGCCTTTTTCGTCTCCAGAACACGGTGGAAGGAACGCCTTAAAACCGCACCCCTTGCGTCCCATCCGCGTTTCCGGAAAGGACGCGGGAGCTGTAGAACAGCGCCGGACACGGAGGCAGCGAAAGCTGGAAGTCCTTGCAATGCTCAAACCATTGTTTTTCCAGAAACAGTGGAGACACACAGTATGGGGTTCTTGTGGTAGGAGTCCTATTTTTTTGGCCTAAAAGCTTGGATGAATTTTCATCGCCCTATTTTGGGCCACCAGGTTGATCTTAGGTTGGGCCCTATTGGCGAAGCCCAAGCCACCAGTACCATCAGTACCCGCCTGGCGCAAGCCACGAAAGCGACGCCCAGAACCTAAGAGCGATGGCCTCCAACCCACTAGCAAAGGCCTCCAAGCTAAGAGCGATGGCCTCCAAGCTAAGAGCGATGGCCTCCAACCTACTAGCGATTGCCTCCAAGCTAAGAGCGATGGCCTCCAACCTACTAGCTATGGCCTCCAACCTACTAGCGATGACCTCCAAGCTAAGAAGAACAAAGTCCTATTCCGCAACTCTCCATTCTTCTGAGACTTTTGCTTCCGCAACTATTTGGTACTTTTTGCCGCAACTACTCTTCAGAAAGTATTCTTCAGAAACTATTTTGGGATCTTCAGCAACTATATTGCGATCTTCAGAAACTATTTCGCAATCTTCAGAAACTATTTCACATCTTCAGAAACTATTTCGCGATCTTCAGGAGCTATTTCGCGATCTTCAGAAACTATTTTGCGATCTTCAGCAACTATTTTGCGATTTTCAGAAACTATTCCGCGATCTTCAGAGACTATTTCGCGATCTTCAGAAAGCTATTTGCATGCTTTAGAACGTATTCCTCAGAACTTTCACAATGTTGCAACCAAGTTGCATGAAGGAGCGCTGGGTGGGTGGGGGGTGGGTGGGTGGGTAGGTGGGTGGGATATTGACCATGCTTGTTTTGCGATCTGCAGAAAGGTTTTCGTGCAGGTTTGATGTTGCTCTTCGACCCTTTGTAGTTTCCGAACATTAGTTTCTGAAGAACACCGTAGAGTTTCCGAAGAAAACCACATAGTTTCCGAAGATTAGTTTCCGAAGAAAGCCGTAAAATTTCTGAAGAATAGTTTCCGAAGAAAACCGTAAAGTTTCCGACGATCACCTTTTGGTTTCCGAATAAAACTTTGACCAGCTAAGAGCGATGACCTCCAACCTACTAGCAATGGCCTCCAACCCA